GAATACAATGACACGTAAGAAAAAAAATGCTCGGAACTTTTTCATTATCATTAAACGTTTGATCTAGTTTTACTGATAGCCTATGAAAGTGATTTTTTTTTCTTCGCGGAACTAAGTAAACCTGGCAGTGTTATTTTTTCAGAAAAACATTTAACGTAATTAAAACAATGCTGGTAAGAAAAACAATGCTAAAACCAACAGATGAACAAAAAAGTGCAAGAAAGTAGAAAAAAAAAATGGATTTAATATGGTTCTCATTTATCTTTATTTCTACAGTGCCCTGAACGTCTTGTGTATTTAAATGGAATAAAATAAATGCAATTGACCAACGTCTAAGAAAAATCAAAGTGCAAGTCACCCTTCTCTTGACACATAGTTTTTGTCTTCTTTTTTGTTTTTGCAGATTGTTGTGGTTTTATATATTTTTTATTGTAAAAATAGTGTTATGTACTAAAACAATAGCAACAAATTTTTTTTTCGAAGCCGCATTTGTGAAAACAAACGTACTATTATGTTTTATTAATTCACGGCTACACATGTTGGCATCATGATGAGATTTCTTTTCTAAAGTTCAGAGCTGGTATGCTACTACGTTTCAAGTTGAAGTCTACCAAAAGAGTCTAGTTAAATTGGAAGTTAAAAATGTCAGAAAAGCAACACAGCTGAAACGTATTCCGTTTAAATTCTGCAACCATAAAAAGTAAACAAAAAAAATAAAAAAAAGGCCAACACGTGATGCCGAAAATTGCGAGGCATCCTCCCTAACGTGTCGAAAGGAACAAGAAATGAAATACTGATTGTCTACACTTATAGTGTCAAAATAACGCCAGAATTAGCCAATGTGACGTAAAATAAACACAAAAAACCTCGACCGTTTGTGACGCACGTTAGATATCAAATGTGTTGCGTGCAACTCCAGAACGCGGGACGTTCGTCTACACCTTGAACGGGTGTCTGGTGCCTGCGCTGTAGATGCGTAATTTAGCCAGTGTTGTACGAACGCAAGCCCGGGGTCCTCAGCGGACGTCACGCAGCAGTGATCACACGACTGCACAACGGTACGAGGCGCGTCTAGATCGTTAGAGCATTGCAAAGGCGGATACCGAATTTCTGTACCAAATGCACCATTAGGTGACCCATTTTCCCTGGCTAACCCGATTAGCTGGCCAAGCAAGACAATGTTGCGAAAGTAACGTAGAAACCACAACTACATCGAAAGTGACTTAACTAGTGTAATGTAAATAGGTAGAGTACGAGATAACTTTGACAAAACACTTACTTGCGTGAAAAATCAATACAATACGAGTTTGAAATTTCTTTTCGCATTACCAAGTCTTGCCAGGCTAGGAACGAGGTTAGATCGACACACTGACGGTTAAACAGCACTTCTCACCCCCGTTTTGTTTTAAGCTGTGTTTTTTTTTCTTTTTAAGCTGAACGAAACGGTAATAGGGCGGTTTGTACCGCCAGAGCGTTGAAACACCGAAACAGTTAGATAAAGAAAAAAACAACAACATATACATTTCCATGTACGCGCACGCCGCAACTACAAAACAAAGAACGAAAAAAAAAAAAAAAGGCGGAGTGGCGGCGCTGTTGATGCGAAATCTTACGTGACGTCTCTTTAAGCATCTCTTCAGCTGCAAATGTTCAGGCTGACGCCGTTATAAACCCCGAGCAATTTTCGACATCATTACGCACGCAGAATACAATCTGCCAGAAACGTCGAGGGTTGCTCGCTTCGAAGCGAGCACGAGAGATTTAATTTTTATGATCGTATTGTTTTAGTTAATACGAGTAAAAGTATTGGGAACGTTTCTTCTCCGTCGCTTGCTACGGCAGTTTGCCAACGGTGTATACACGATGCATTTGAACTTGGAAAATCGCACACCGGCACACTTGTTCCCTCAGTGAGCGCGATCTCGTTACCCACACGGGGTTCGGAAGAAATAGCTGGAAGGTACGCAAAATGACCGTAGCGAAAACGGTTCCGTGTGTCGCAACTTCAGCAAAGATATTATCTTGGGGTGCGAATAACGAGAGAGAGAAAAAAAAAGAGAGAGAATATTAGAAAAAAAAAAAAAAAAACAACAACAAGAAAACGGGAACTGAACCGAGTTCTGAATGTATTTCTGAATGCATAAAAAAAAAACACTCGGAATTTTGTATTATTTTGTTCATATCTCTCCGAGCGTTAAGCAGTCAAAGCGAGAGCATACATATATGCCTAGTCAAACCTTCGTTCTACCGTCGAAAAAAAAAAAAAAGAATCGGACAAAATGATTGTTTAGTAGAAATAAATTTCGTCTTGCGTTTTGGGCCGTGCTTCCTTTCGGTAACAAGCGCGATTACCCCCTCCCTTCTCCTGCTTTTCCCTCAACTCTAGAACCTAAAAAAAAAGAAAGTAAAGAGAGAACACAGATGGGGGAACAACGAGTGGTTTCCTTTCTTCAAATCGAAACATAATGTAAATAAACGTGATGACTAGAACACAATCGAAAAGAAAAAAAAAAGAAAAGAAAAGAGAATCGACGAAGCAAAAAGGAAAAGATAAGAGGAGTTGAACAGAGAACGCGCGGCAGATTGTCCTAATGCGAAAACTGAATGCAATTCGGTAGCTGCGCTTGGGTGCGTCGCCGCCGCGGCAGCAGCGGTCGTCGCCGGAGTCGTTTGAGCTCTCTCTGCAAAATACGTCGTCGAAGCACTCGACTTGCTAGCTGCTGGCTTAAGGGAGAAAGGGAACGCACAATACTACCGGCAGTCGAAATGGAGTGTTCTGCACGGCCCATTGCTGACAAAACTCAACTCCGAGCAAAAAAAAAAAAAAAAAAAAAAAGAACGATATGCGGTTAAGTAAAAATTAAAAATATATAAATAAAACAGTTCGTGGAGCTTCCAACTGGTGAAGCAAGCAAGCCGCTAGGCTGGCAGGTGGCGGCAACAATTTCCTCCGGTATAATATTAAGGGCACGACGCGATCAAGTGTTCAATTTAAAACGGCACATTTCAAAATCAGAAGAGTATAGGGGAGGGGTTGGGCGTTGCGTCTGCTTCTGAAATGCGTACTTCCTTCGCTGTATTGCCTCGAAAAAAAAAAGGAAAAAAAAAAGGAGAAAAACACGCTTCCCTTCGTATGCGGTGTGGATGGCGTGCCATTTGAAGGCGAAGGCTCACTAATGACGGCTGCGACACCTTGCCAGTGCGGCTGAGTTGAGAGGAACCCACAGGCAGTTGGAGAGAACATTTCGAAGAAAGGAGAGTGCTTCTGTTTAAGTTGTACGAGGATAAAACATTCACGTTAGTGTCAAAAGTTCGTCATATAGCTTTTTTGTATCTAGCAGCGCGAGGCTAATTCGTGTGCAACGTTTTGGTATTTCCGAATTATGATTTTGCATGGCAAGCCTGTCGTGAAAAGAATGTGCCCTGAGCCTTGTCTTGAGCACGCTCAAGCGTGGTTGTTACTTGCGTATTAATATGAATGGTTCATAAACGAAGTAAATTAAAGAAGAAAAAAAAATATACGGCAAATACTCGCTTTGCGTTGATTTTGCCCTTTGAACGATGATCCGATAATAATTCTACCGCGATATCCCAATTGCGATTACTACACAGCACGATAATCCGTAGTTGAGTTCCCACCACTTATAACATGCTTTAGGATTGTGAGGCAATAGGCTAAATTATGTTTTGAGGGTTAAAAACAGATTAAACACGATTGAAGGTCATTGCTAATGATGTTTGTTTTTGTTTGAAGATCCACTGTTCTATTCCCGCGAAAATTACTTTCACGTTAGTACGATAAACGTTCCCGTTAGGATGATGGAATAAAACTACATCATTTCAGAGGCGTTGCCGGGCCTCGCTGCCAATCTTCGTTTAACAAAGCCTCACGTTTTCATGTAGCTGCTAAGCCGCCCCGGAAAATCTTGTGGCTACAGCCCGTATAAATCCGTAGGCGAGTGACCGACTGAGGCCTTGGGGAACACCAGAGGCCTTGCGTGAAAGGTTATCTTGTACATGGTAGCGAGTATGTGGCGAAAAAGCGTCAAACTTCGCTTGGCGGGACGGTCCCTTTGCGCTCGGAATCAACAGCCACTGTTGTTCTGACGCCGCGCGCAGAGCAAACGTCGTCGCTCTAAATTCGTAGCGTGTTCGCGGCATTTTCGCTTCATGAAGTCCAACTTTAAGAGTGACTAACTAGTGTGGCAACATTTTTAGACTCACTCCAATTATTCTAAGTATATATAGCGGGGCGGCTATGTTTACAGCGATCATGGCAACGTATGGTAGCTATAAACATTCGCTATAAAAAATGTCGAAAGAAAAACATAAGAAAAAGCCTCGTATTTTCGTTCCACCATAGGCGTGTTTCTGTTTAACTGCCTGGTCGTGTAGGTAGACCGCGTTCAGAACGATGTTTTTTTTCTTAAATTGCGTTTGCCGTTGTAGCAACCCGTAAATTTTACTAAAAACCGCCCCCACCCTACAAAAAAAAAGTTTGGCTTTAGAGCAGTAGGTAAATAAATTATAAAACAAATCAATTGAAAAGCAGAATGATTAGAAACATACAGATAAAAAAGTACATAGCTGGTATAATTCGTTTCAGCAGCTACAACATGTTGTTCCTTGTATTTATTTCTGGTGGTTCCAGGTCATCACAAAGGTACCAATATTCATTTAGGCTCGTCAGCAAGTTTTTAAATAAAGGTTAAAGATCGCTGTAAGGTTAGATATCATAAAACCCGACACGGGAAAACAAGAAAGGCAAGAGAAACGACATTCAGTCGGTGTTCCTTTTCTTGTATAACGATTTTTGGTAGAAGTAGCTGCTAAGCTTCTTTTGTCCTTTGTACCTGGTTCCATGATGTCTAGCCTTAACCAGCTTGCCTGCCTTATCACTTTTTCTTCAATTGTAATGTTATATATTTGGCTGGAATATCACAAAAAAGCAGTAAGTGAACTTTGACGAAGATTCACAGACAAGAACAGAGAGAGCTCACCTTCGGTTAGAGCACCCAAGGGCCACACAAGTTCTGGAAAAAAAAAAGACATATTCACATTTAAGAGACGAAAGCGGTGAGTGACTCCGTATTCTCACGAATGGCACAACCTCACTCTCTAAGTACGTATTATAGAAATATAAGTTGTGACATCCACAGTCAAATAATTTTTAAGAATTCTGGCACTGATCTTTAAGGATTCAAATAAAGTATTTATGCGTAATGAACAATGTCAGTTAGTCCAATTGGTAAATAACCTCATGGGCGGCTTGTAAAGGTAAGCTTTTTTTTTTACTGCGTGTATTGTCATATCCAGCGACATGTTGAATCAAATGAAAAATAACAATAAATTAGTGCAACACGGGCAATATTTTAGCTAAAGTAAAAGTATAACTAAAGTGGAAAAAGAAAGAAGAAAACGTACGGCTGGTAATTGCAGAATATTGAAATCTGATTAAAGCGACACGCGGAAGATTAATTACATGTCAGTCGCGTCCTCTTCTGGCCCATATATTCCAAAACAAAACACGATAATATATTCAAGGTTTTGAAAAGTGACACATTAAAATCTAGGTCAATTTGAGTTTTCCTTAATTCTGACTTTAACCCAGTATGGCTCAGTTCCCCGATTTCGCGTACTTTAACGCAAATGGTCGCCGTGAAAGATATGTGGCCCCAAATCATCTGTACATGCTGGAAACAAACAAATAAAACTAAAGGCAAAACAAGACTAGCAAAGTATATTCATTCTACTTTCTCAATTAATTAGTTTCGCCCGTTAACGCTATCTCCTTTTCGTATTACCCCGAAGAAAAAGAAAGAAAACAGAGAAACGCCACTTCTGAGAAGACAGTTATGATCATAGATCACCGGGCACGCTGACGTACAAAGTACTATTAACAACAATCAATTACAAAACGGGAAGACGATAACGCGTGAGCCAACGGAATCCCATACACAGCGACACACACACTTCAACGTCGAGCCCAGAATAAATTTCCCTAGTCATTTTTCAAATTCGGACACTTTGCATTTTTCTTTTTTTCATATTTCCTGACACGGACGACGCGCGTTTATCTCCGAGGATACGCTTCCATCTATCCTTTCTTCATTATGCCTGGCAGCCTCACCCCTTCTCCTCTAAGCCTTTCGCCCTCCCCCAAAGAAAAAAAAAATGATGAAAAAAAAAAATGAAGAGGTAGAAGAAAAGCCATCGGGAGTCGAAGTGTCGAACAAAAGGCAACGCGTCTTCTTAACGAAGCCCCCGCGTGCACAGCGGGTGGAACGGCTCCTTGGCGCCTCCCTGATTTTCTCTTCTGCCTATTTATTTTTCCGCCACCATCTTCTCGCGCCTGAACCTTTTTTTTTTTTTTTTGGCGTTCGAGCAACAGAAACGTCCAGCTCGCACAAACTGACACACCAGTATAGAAGTACGCATGCCTCCGCCGCCACCAGGAATGAAAAGAAAAAAAAGAAGCAGAAATAAAAAAGGGGCATCGAAATGCTTCCAATATGGCGTCGGCAGCAGCAGCGGCGCTCCTTATTGATGGTCGGCGCTGTTCCGTCATCGCCAAGGAGAAAACGCTGCCGGTCTGGCAAACGAAGGAAGGCCCGGCGGCGGGACGGGGGAAGGGGAGTGCCTTTCCCGCTGGCGGGGAACACGAAGGCCAGAAGGGAAAAATGGATCCATTAGGGTTACAGTCGCCTTTGTGCCTTCGCTGGCGTCGGCTCCTTCGCCCGTTCGGGTCGGACCTCGCCCACCCAAGCCCACGTTTAAGGTCTCTTCGCCTCCGTCCTTTTGAGAGGGATCATTATTAATGTCTCCCCTGTCATGTTCAGTATCGTGGCTTGGCTGCTTTTTGCTACACCGCGCGCCTGTGCCATGCTTCGTTCGTTCCTTTTTTCGTTATTTCAGATTCTTTCTCAATAAGCTTTTTTTTCTCTCCCGTTTTTCTCCACTGGCTTCTTCTTCCTGCGCCGGCGTCTCGGGCTTTTTGTTCGCAAAAACATCGCTTTGCCTCTGGATCCTGCGCTTACATTTTTTCCCGTGTTTTTTTTTTATTTCTCGTCGTTGCCGTTCGATTCTGGCTGTTCGGCTTCTTTGGTTGGTAACGGTACTTTTAATCCTGTCGCTCGACAGGCCGATTCTTCCAGTTATTTACTGCCGCTGGGCGGTGTGCCACGCATCGAAGAACGAACGATTCCTGTCTCACTCTTCATCCTGTTTTCCCTCCCACTTTTTCCTTCTCCGTATATCCTCTTTTACACCGCTCGCGCTCGTGTATGGACTTGTATGTGCGACTATGTGTGTACGTAGGTTTCTCTTTAACCTAATGTAATTTCTTGATTCGCTGCGCGTGCGTGCGTCTCTGCGTGTGTGTGTGTATGTGCGTGTGTAAGTGTATGTTTGTATAGGCTTGTAGCGAGCATCTGTTCAGGATGTGTTGTTTGTGAGAGGATTCGTCGTTACATACTGGCTTAGTATTTCATAGTCACATTATATATAATTTATTTTTACTTCATGCTGATTGTAAGTGTGCATTTTGAACATGTTCAACTTTCTTTCGGCAGGCGCATGTAAAGTTGCTGCTAAAAGATAAATAAACGTTCCTGATTTTTCGAACGATTCATTGCTTTCTCGCGGTTTTCTTGCAAAAGAAAACTAACGAATACAAACCGATGAAAGCTAAGGCGAGAAAACAAAACAAATAAACGAAACGAAAAAAAAAAGAAACGAACGACACGCTTTCAGGCAACGTTAGGATCTTAGCGGCTGGACGGACGCAGAGGAGAGTCGCGAAAGTTTACGACGCACACAAAAACAAAACAAAAAAAAAATCGGAGGGGCCGGAACCCCGAGTTGTGCAGTAAATTAAAGAGAACAACCCATGGAGGCAAAGGGGGACAACGCTCGAAACCGGAGACGGAAGAAGCTTCCCGAAAAGTATGTTCCGCTGGACGCTTTTTGCTGCGGTTGGATTCCCGACAAAACAATGGGGACCCAGGAGTACGCGAGTTTTTAAAATAAAGAAAAAGAAAAGAAATATAGAAAAGAAAAAGACAGAAAAAAAAGATGAATGGAGGAACGACACAAGGAAGAGTCTAAAATTTAAGAAAAGCTCGAGAAACGCGAATCACTAAGTACAACAAACGAACTTAAGAAGAAAAAGTGTATTTTGTTTTCAAAAAGTAAAGGTAACCGCGGTTATTGGAACGAGAACGTCCTGTGACTAACAATATCGGGCTGGATGTACGGAGAGTCTTATACGGTCTGGCTTGATCTGCTTCTCGGACAGTTTGTTTAATGTATCCAAGAAAATAGTTCGTGCCTATCGACGAATATTCCTCATAAAATAACTAAAAGAAAAGCTAGAGTTCTCGAAGTTACTCACTCGGAAAAGTGTATCCCTTCAGGTAGGGCGATATAATTTTCTATAAACGTAGGTAAACAAGACGCGACAACGAAGAAAAGACACTCCAGAGCCGTGGATGTGAAGAAGTATGCTCACCGGCACCTCTTCCCCGTGCCACGTTGTTGGGCATCATGACTTCTTTAGGCTGCGCTTTCTTGCATTCCACCTGCACAGAACACACAATCGGAAATCACAACATTGTCGCTAGTTTCATAGAAGTGATTGCAATCGACTTGATGGGTGCGACCGCTCTCTTGCCTAACGGCATCAGGTTAAAGAATAAACCAACATAATAAAATGAATGTGAGGGAAAAGTTATAAAAGCCGATAACGCGTAAAAATGAAAAACAACACCAGTATAGACGCAGACCGCTTAAGACATGCAAAATGTGTAGAATCTCGAACTCCTTATTAACGCTCTGCAGACAGTGAGGTTACGGCTTCACTTGATAAGAACGCAGAAAGAGTAGTGAAGCAGGCATCTGTCCGTTTATGCCCGTTCAGCCAATGTGAGCTCGCCGAAGTTGTGCCCCTGTAAAGGGTGCACCACCTTGCGTACATAGTCGATGCGGAGAAGACCACTTCACAAAGATCGCAAAAATATAAAATGCAAAAACAAAAAAGCAAAAAAATGGGAAAGTATGTAGGTGTTTAACGGCAAAAATAATCTATAGACATATTTATAAAGTGCGAGTGGGTTTAGCAAAAACCTACTTTATCTTTTTGTTTCGTTTTGTTCCGCTCACTACCTTGTGCCACGACGGTAACCCGAGATGTTTTTGCCTCTCTAGACCAGCACGGTGTCCTAATTAGGGATGCCGCGAATTTTTTCGAATCGAAGTTTCGATGATCAAATCAAGCGTTTCGAAACATTTCGAATTTTCGAACTTTCCATATCGAGAAATTCGACGGAATTCGAATTTTCGAACTTGTTAGACCAGGAAGTTCGACGCTTTTCGAAATTTCGAGCTTATTACACTGCAAAATTCGATGCTTGTCGAACTTTCGAATTTGATAGACAAAAAAATTCGATGATTTTCGACCTTTCGAATTTCTTGCACTAAAAAGTTCGAAGCTTTTCGAACTTTCGAACTTCCTACGCTAAGAATTTCGATAATTTTCGAACTTTCGAACTTATTAATCAAGATAATTCGAAAATTCTCGAACTTCCGATTCCTGAAAAGCCAAAAGTTCGACGAACTTCGAATTTTTAGGGTAAAAGTTCGAAGTGCGTCGAACTTCGAAATACGGGCGGGCGGTTTCATTTGGATTTAAGCAGTGATGTACATTCGTAATTTTTTTTCTCGCATTTTCACATGTGGTGCCGCATTCTTTGCGAAAAACAATGCCGTTTATTTCATTCATCTGGCATGCTCGGTTTTAAAGAAATAGAATCCCGAAGGAGCAAGGAAGGACGATGGGTTTTTGACAATTGCCGTTTGTGCCATATTTGAAGGGCGCTGCAGCCGAAGATATTCATGGTAGAGACGTTAAACTTTTTAAGAATGATCAATGTATAACCTAGGTAAGTGTCGTCTTAAGGTATGATTATTGTTGTTCAAGACGAGTTTCGAAGAAATATCCAAATATGTATCTACGGGCCCAAAACTTGGTAATTTTTTTTGTCGAAATTGTTTGAGGTATCGCATTTAAATTGACACCACAGAGAGTGCACATCATTACTATCTGCAGAATACAAATTATTGTATACATTTTTTTCACGTTGAGGAATAAATTAACTCAGGGAGAAAGATTCCTAATATTGTTTCAATTCGGCACGTCATAAAAACCAAAAAAAAAAAAACTTTATTATTATTTCGGCACGTCATAAAAAACAAAAAAACAAAAAAAAACATTTATTAATTTTTTTTTTTCATTTCACTTTTTTGGGACGTGTTTCTTTTAGTCTGTACACATTTTGGTAGGAGAAATTCGTTTCGTAGTTCTGGGCCTCTGAATATGCAAGAATACCACACTTCCGGCGGCTTCTTGATAGTTTTTTTTTCCAGCTTTTTATTTTTTGCATTTATTGTTATGTTTATTTATTTATTATTTCTTACCAATGGCACAGTTATTTAGGTCGAAAAGACATAGCTTTGAACTTCCGAACCACTAAGCATGCAACGAGTAGTGCCTTCTGACAACGAGTTTCTAACAATGACCATCTACGCGATCTTTTATGCAGTGAAGAGCGACAGTAGCTATACATATGCATAAATAATTTCAGATTAAAATAAGCTCGACCATGGCCTCTTTCATCGTATTGTTTTCTTTAACAGTCCGAAATATCTGGAAGGGGGGGGGGGGGGGGGGACCGGAGAACCTTCCCCCCTTTTTTTTCTATTCCGACGCTGCTGGTATGGTAGAACGCTCCTCGACCTCAAGCTGTGTCGGCTTCTGTGCTTTTTGTTCGGCGTTTCTTCCGTCTCCGAAAATAAACCTCCAAAGCAATTACAAACTAAAAAAAAATAACAAGGTGCAGGCGAGCTGGTGTATGTTGATCATGATGCAAAATCACGAGACAGGAATGAAATTCGCAAGAAATAGTGTAAGACTAAGAAGAAAGAAAAAAGGGAACAGGACAACGTCTCAAACTGAGCTGAGTTGAGACGTTGTCCTGAGCTGAGTTTGAGACGTTGTCCTGTCCCCTTTTTTCTGTCTTCTTACACCTTTTCTTTCAAATTTCATTCCCAGTCTCAGGATTTTGCATCATGTAAACTAAACTTACTATATGCCAGCGTCACTCGGGCGGCGTTCGAGCGGATTACTACCAGCGTGCAAGGGGGTGGGGAGGCAGTTTGCCAGATTGCTTCAAGGTTTTTCTGAGCCTCAGTGACACTCAACCACCTGCCTGCCCCTGGCCGTTTCGAACTGGATGAGTATTGTTAAACAGTGCGCTCGTGTGATCACTACTGCGTGATGCACGTTAAAGACCCCCCCCCCCCCCCCCCCCCGGGCTGGCAGTCACAATTACTGATCTGCACACGTCACTCTGCACTGGCAAATAATCCAGCACATCCGGGACACTCGTCGTCTCATTTAATTGCCTGATCAACTTCGCGCAATCTGAATATCACACCCGTACGTTTCTAAACCTGATTTCGTAAAAAAACAGTGAGGCGTGAAAACGTTATTTGAAACAAACTGTGGCGGAACATGAAAACCGGACTTCGAACTTTGCGCACTTGGACTTTAAAAAAATTCGAAACCTAAGTTTGTTTTTCAAATTTAGCGCTAACAGAGAATCGAAACCTTCGAACTTTATGTGGAAAAAAAATCGAAATCTTCGAATTTATCGAACTTCATGTCTCTAAAAATTCGAAACGTTCGATTTTTCGAATTCCAGATCCAAAGAAATTCGAAACATTCGAATCTCAAGTTAGGAAAGTTCGAAATCTTTGAATTTCTGGAACCTCAAGTAAAGAAATATTCGAAATAGTCGAACCCGAACTTTTAGAAACCGTGAAAGCTTCGAACTTTTCGATTTCGAAACTTCACGATTTTTGAAAGTTGCGAATTTTTCGAATTCGAATCTCCGTACGGTCAAAAATATCGAAACCTTTCGAATTCGAACATCAGTTCGGTTCGAAAATATCGAAATCTTTCGAAATCGAACTTCGGGTGGTTCGCGGCATCCCTAGTCCTAATCACAAAAGCAGGCTTTGCCTAAGTGTGGCATCGTAACTCTCAGTGAAACAAACAAGGGAATGTCTAATATGGCGCACGACAAAACCGTCCATACGTCCACGGCAACGACAAGGTGACATCAGGGCCGGCTGCCTCGTCAGGCGCGCGCCATGGTGATGCGAGACAACATTGCGATGGATATCCCCCTCCAACACACGGTCGGGAGGAAAGCATCAACGCGTGGCCTAATCAATTCCTCCGGCAGAAAAAAAGAAACAGTGCTGAGAATATTGTTAGCGCTTCACAGCGCTACCTGGTGAACTAGGCTAGAGTGCCCTTCACACGCGGGCGCTTGAGTAGAGTGGTGACATCCCCTCCTGATCACTTATTAGGTTATTTTCCAAAGTGCACGCGCTCTGACGTTTGTCGCTGCAAGTGGATTGCTTAGGCGAGTGCTTCGATGCTATTCTAGTGTCAAAAGCTTTGTACGTCGGCATGCACTGGGGCAGTCTTTTCAACGGGGGAGGGCGCCCTCCTTGCGCGGACAGACATCTAGGCATCCTAGACCAATCTGGAGTTTCTCAATATCTACCCATACCAAAAAGATGTTCTTAGTTGCGTTTGATGCCACTAGCGCTTGTCAATGTGGCCGTACCCGCACAAAAGTGTGAAATAAAACGGCATCAAACCGCTAGATACAACTACATCTTCCTATTGAAACGCGCCAGCATCCGTGTACTTCGTAAAACCGAACACATTGTTTTTATAGTCACCCATTGGTCAACACCCAGCAAAAAGGAGAGTGTGCATTAGAGCGTCTTAAGAAAAGATGGGATGCTTTGACACGTGTTTGTTTTCATGGGGTCCATTTCACTAGAAGTACGTCAATCATTCGAACTCTCTAGGTGTAGTTAATATTAAAGACGCACCATAGATACAATTAACATAACCAAAACTAAAACTGGCTCTTTTTGAGAAGCCACTGCATTTTACGGAAGCGTTTACTCTAAACATGATCAAAACAAACGTTATAAATAATCGAAGAACTCCTAGGACTTCATTACGCGGAAAAGAATAGCCCATTCAGCATATTAGTTCGAAGGCAGAAAATCATTGTACTGTCTTCGAAGTTTCTCTCTTTCCATTTTCCATTCTCCCCATGCGTAAAACAAACACGATACACATCGTGTGTGCCTAGCAGTAACTCATAATGTTTAAAAGACAATTCAGCGCCCGCCCTATACTCCGTAGCCGCTTAAGCTAAGCATAAATATGTAAACCTTTCATTTAGATACAAAAATAACATGGAATCAGCAATTACCCGCGCAGTCAAATGTTTTGTAACATCTGTGAAGAGAAGGGGAAAACAAGTAACAGAAAGACCAGTCAGAGTGCATCTTCACTTCGGGAGCTGCATTCCCCATTAAAAAGAAGGACAAATATGACCGGCACCAAAGGAGGAAAGAAGAACAAATGAAAAGAGCGATCTAGAAGAGAGAAAAAAAAGTGGGGAACGCGTTAATGCACTAAGCCCAATTA